TACTTTTGTCTGTCCCGAGCTTTGATTGAGTAGGTCCTCGGGACGGGAAATCCCCGCAACGCACCGGGCCCGCGTCGAGCATAAAGGCCGCAGTCGTGGCCGCGATCTGCAAACAAGTCGGACATTTTAACCGATGCGCGCGACTGGTAATCTCGGGGAGTTAGACGAGGAGCGGGGGGGAGTCTGTATCTTTTTTTTCTTAGATAAAAATAAAATAAAAAAAAGTTTAGAAAGCGCCGGTGGTTGTCGATCTGCAATTTGGGGTCGGTCATGCGGCGGGCCGCCGCTTCCCCGGGATGATCGACCAACGAACGCCAGGTCATCAGCGGGGATATCTAGACACTAGCAGTGAGCTTCTTGTTCCTCTTCACTCTGATCTAGGGTCTAAAAATCTGAGATCTCAGATCCAAGAACGTTTTCTCCGCAATATCCCTGATGCTGCAAAGACGCTGATTCGGAACGGAATACTTGCGTTGGCTACGCATATCTGTGGCTTACACAACAAACCGGCTCCGAGTAGCAAATGTTACAGAATTTGGGTCTATTTGGGCACGTCACAGTGGGTTATATGAACAAAAGACCTCACATCCGCTCCCATGATTGCCATTGAGTAAATCGAGTGATACTTTTGGTTTGGAGGTCAAGACAACGGGGAAGAATGCCCGTGGTGGATTTCAACATTGACAACTATATAGGTAGTGAAACCTGAGAAGTCTCCCCTCTTCTACGCCTATGCAGGTCCGCAGGCCCGAGAACAGACGTAGAAGGGGGGCAGAACGTATGAGTGTAAAGGCAGCCGCTATATATCGCTTTCCAAAAAGGGGTATATACTAAGGGAGCAAGAATTATCCTGTCTTGAGAAAAGAGGAATATGCCAAAAAAGAGCCATGTGGGTAAGAAGTCGGACATTGGGGCACTGTGTGACAGCCAGAGTTCGTAGCATGAGGGAGAAGTGTGAGGGTGGTGTCCGCGAGGCCGAGCTCGTTACGAATACAGCCATCAGAGGGAGCTGCATTCAAGGCGACTGGTACACGGTGAGGTATCCAATCTCCATCATGCTTCCGTAGCCATCTTGGGTGGCGTCGGTAGGAGAACCCGGCAAAGTGCCGCCTGAACATAGTTAGCATTTTCATGAACGACGAACGGTCCATCGAGGCAACAACAGCGAGAAACATACCAACTGCCACATTCATAAGCACATAGTAAGGCATATGGCAAAGGGTCGCCCAGATGCCTTCGTCACCAATATCGCTGCCCTTGAGTTGGTTGAAGACAACACCGTCACGGTACCATGTGATGGTCTCGGTGACCCAGTTGTTCGACGTGCGGTCCCACTCCAGTGCCCAAGTGTGCCAACCGTTGTCGGGCATCGAAGTGGCCACACCACGGCCGCTGGGCTCGTTGCAGATACCGCCGGATTCTTGTTGGCAGTGAACGGTACCCGTGGCCGTGGCCTGGCCGTTGATCTGTTCGAAGATGTCGAGCTCCCCGCAGAGGGGCCACTGAACCCCGTTACGAACGGCATCGCCCAGCATCCAAAAAGCAGGCCACATGCCCTGCTTGTTTGCGTTATCGCCCATCCTGAACATGGACTGAACCCGCATCTTCCCTCCCGGCTGAGGTGTCCACGCTGCCTTTGTCTCAATACGCGCAGACGTCCATACGCCGCTTGCTGACTTTCTAGGAATGAGTTGGATGGTTTCACCGCCTGATATTTGGACATTCCAGGACGATTCGGTGTAAGTCTGGACCTCGTTGTTCGTGTCGATGGCTAAGGCGACGTTCCATGTGTCGCTTCGAGGGGGTGCGCCGGCGTTTCCTTGGAAAGTCTCGGACCAGATGATTCTCATGCCATCTTGGGCTGGGGGCACAAGAGCACCGACGAACGGTGTAAGGGAAAAGAGAAGCCGAGCGTATTTGGAAAGCATTTTTGTCTCGTGTATTTGCTGTCACTGGCTGACTCCTTTCTCTGTTCTTATAGTATACTGAATGAATGGATTGGTATTGTATTCCGTGGGTTCGATCTCGTCTATTTGCGAGCGTTCCGGGGATGAAAGTGAATGGACGATGAGATTCAAATGAATGTGATCACCAAGAAAAGAATGTAGCGGCACTTGGCCTAATGAGTGAAAGTGAGTGCGGTAGAGAACGAGAGAGGCGGTAAAAGCACAAAGTTGCCAACGGGCAGCGAGGCTGGCTTGCCTCTATATATACGGCCAGGCGGAGTTCCTGCATGGGACGGTCTGGACAACGCACATCGGGAGGAACAACCTTGTATTGGGACAACTTGACAAGGGAGCAGGACGACAAGGATACTATGCCGAGAGCAGGCGACGAGTTACAACTGGCAAGGAGGAGCTTATGCCATGCCCTTGTTATCGCAAATGGTTGGATTAGGGTAGTTGTCCAGAGGCGGTAAGGCAGAGAAAGAGATTGACGTGGGGAGTCAGGATGAAACGCCCAGAAGCGGCCAGGAATACCTAGTGTGGCAGTGACGATGGCCTGCCTACTTCGCAAGTCGGCATAGTCTTCTTGGTCACTCTGGCTCAGCCGCTCAGGTCACAGTACGCAGTACAACAGGAGAGCCAAGGATGGGCGAGCAAGGTTGTAGACTGCCAGACAGGCCGTGGACAGTAGTGGGTAGTAGATTAGGGCAACGAGGTGAATATGGATACACGGGAGAGGAGGCAGGGGTTATTTTCAGTATACCAAGTAAAGGCGACTGGAGAGAGGAGTTCCTCACGGGTGGTGGGCGTGACCAACGGGCAAGGCTAGGGAGTCCTGATCTGCGTCGGACAAAACGACAGCCGCCAGAGATAGGGGTCGGCCCAAGATCGAGACCAATATGTGGACAAGGAAGTCAACGGTGCCCGAGGGTAAGCCAGCAGATACATTGCGCGATGAATCGTGAGAGCGAGCCAAAGCAGGAAGAGCTGAATGGAGAATGTAGCAGCAGGGTTGACTCTTTGACAATTGACTCGTCAGAAGGGAGGCGTCTGTGACTATCCTCGTCAACGATCTCCATCCATCCACCCATATCCGTACGCCGTACAAACACATGGAATGCTGTGGGGACAAGAAAAGAGGCTGAGGTGCAAAGACAGACTCTTATGCAGACGTGATATTGGTATGGGAGAGAACGGGGCTTTGAGAGCAGTCAAAAAAAGGGACGGGGCCCGTTGGCGGCGCATCCGAGCCAAGGATCGACGACGGATACTGCCTGCACTGGCCAACGGGTGTCATTGGCGGTTCATCTGTACTCGGTACTGCGAGCGTCAGTTGCATAACCTTCAATTTGGGCACTACTTGGTAGATCCACACTGCGGCCGAAAACGCAGCTAATCGTCCAGTCGGGAAGGCCCAAAACTCTGAAAAGGTCTGGAAAGGAGGTAGACTCGAGGCATTCGTCTACAGTACCTATCCTACGGTAGAGGTGCCGGGGTGTCGATCAGAGAAGAGCCTCGAAAGGGGAGGACAGACTGGACAGTCGTACTCCATACACTACCTAGGACTAGGGGTTTCGGACGTGGGGGTAACAAGAGCCGTGATTTCCGTGTATTGGATGCGCATGGCTTAACTACCACCTTATCACCTCACGGCCCAAGATACTTACATAGGTAGTAGACTTAATCCAAGGTACCTTACTGTGCACAGAAGATCCGTGGGTATCTGATGTGAGGAAAGAAGCAGTATTCGTACGAATCTGAATAAGAAGGTAGATGGCAAAGAGCTTGCTTCCTGCAGTTCTTCAAGCTCGCGCCCATAAAAGTAAGTGGTACCCCTTCCTTCTTTTCCACTTCTTATCAAGTTGTACTCCGTACAACTGCATGTGGCTGCGCTCAATGGTGTGGCAAGCGGGCCATTTTCGCCAAGATGGGATCGTCAAGTGCCCCTGAATATTCAAAAAAAAAAAAAAAAAATTAAAAAAAAATTAAAAAAAAAAACCTACACATAAAGAGTGCAGGCACCGGGATTGCACAGGCAGCGTAGCCCAGATGCTGGACAGGCAATGCATGCTCTGAGACAACAAATGGCAGGGTACCTGAACAGGGAGACACCGGTCCAAATCCACAAATGGGTCCAGCACCGCTTGCAAGTTGGACCACGTCCACCTGGGACGACGGAGATTTCTTCCTCCTCAGGAGTCCCGGCTCGATTGAGTTGGCACCTTAACAGAACTCTATAGTAATACGCAGTACTCCGTAGGAGGCCCTTTGAATGCCTTAGCCGCCCACAGACGAATATGCGAATCCGTACTTATGGATAAGCTGTGCAGCTCTACGATAAGCGAATGCCTTGCATCGCACGCTCACAACGTCGCCTACAAAGAATTCCACGAGGGTTCAGCGCCGTTGAGTGCCGTCTTCGCCACCACGACTTCGGCGCCCCCATCCATGAAACTGAAGTCTCCCGCAATGGAAACGAATTGCGTTGTCATTCTCGGATGAACCACTATAGCTGTCACGTGTTTCAAGCAAGGGGGGTTGATTTTGGCTGTCAACGTCCGGTCATCGCATCACCAAAACACACACAGCCATGCCTTATGTCAGAACGCGCGACTGTGTCATTCATGTGCTGCCTTCTTCCATGAAACTGTTGTCGTCCTCTCTTCTCTTCCGAAGCCAAAACGAGACATTTCGTTACGGTGCAGCCAACTCATGCCGTAGTAAACCAACAAAACATCAATCATAGTACTGGGTATTCTGCAATGCTGCCATGTGCTTGAACAACTGGCAGTTCATGTTTGCTGTTGCTTCAACGCGATTATGATATCTTGCTTGTGAGTCGCATTACCAGACCCTAGTTAGACCAACTCCATAAACTGTTTCGTGAAGTAGCGAGCTAGATTCCTGGCTCTCTCTGGCCAATGTCAGGCAGCACGCCATGTGCGGTTTCTGGGTAGTAGGTGTCTAGGTTCGCACTGCGGCCTGCTCGCCGTAGCTGAATAGACTTGTAAGCCGAGATCCGCATAAGGACTTGATGGGCCATGTAGGTCGTATTCAACCGGCAGGGCAGACGGTATCACCGCTCGCACCTGGAACCGCAGGTCCAAATACATCTCCCAGCTTCTCACCTAACCTCACAATGGTGTGCTCATAGACTCGTGCTGCGTCCATGTAAAGTGTGTCCTCGTCTTCGTCCCACGTCGCGTCCACCGCGTCTTCGAGTTCAGCGTCGCTATTCATGGAATCTTCGTCTGTCTCGTCGTTTTCTGTATCGTCGTCTCCGTCGCGCTCCTTGCTAAGGACCTCCACAATGACCAGTCGTGTCTGCTCCACCGAGCTACGACATCGCACCATGTCTGTCGTAGACATACCAGCTCTCATGCCGTTCTCAAAGCCGGGCAAAGTATCTTTAGTCTCGATGTCGCGTCCGATCAAAAGGCTTGCGAAGCAATGATCCAGTTTTTTCAAGATGGAGAAGGTAGCTTTCGGGGCGGGATTAAAGGCGTCAATCCACTGCGTGAAGTCGCTGGCAATGTTTAAGAGGAAGGGAATCTGTATGCTTGCTACAAGACAGAGTAAGCAATAGTACCGGCGTTTGACTCGAAGCAACGCCGATAGTTGAGGGAGGTAGGCGAGTTTCTCACGTGTTCCAGACAGCCATAGGACGTCGATGACGTTATGTAGGTCCTTGCAAAGCTCCGTGAAGCTCTTGTAGCCTATGACCTCGTCGCCGGGCTCGGCATTGCCATGCTTCTTGACATAACGACGATTGACGATGGCGAGACGTTCCTCAACGTACCGGCGTACCGTCTCTTCTTTGTTGGAACCGGGTCGGAGCGATCTGGCGCGGGGATGCGGCAAAGCCGCACTTGAGCGCGCCGAGCCACTGCTAGGAGCAGGTGAAGGGAGAGATTGTAACGGAAAGAAGCCGCCAGGACCCGCAGGCTGGGGAGTGTCAGGCATTGGATCTAAGTATTGTTGCCGGTTACTCCAGAGCCGATGCTGCTTTGCGCATTGTCCACGGGAAAACGTCCTCAGTCTTATACAGAGTCCTGCCCCTTCAATATTCTAGCGACGCGGCGCAGTGATGTATTGTTGTGCAGATTGGCAAGACAATTGCGACGTCTTTACGTAGAAATACCTGAGTAAGAGGGTAGTGGAGATAGGTAGGTACAGATAGGTATGGAGGGACTTATCTTGAGAGGGGCCATCTCACTACTTTTTGCACCTATTACTCCGTACATAAGGTTAGGTAGGTAGGTGACCTGGAAGAATGCCTCAAGGTACCTTAGGTAAGGTACCTTACTTTTGTTTTGTTATCTTATCTCCGATGAGAGCTATTGTTATCAGCCACAATGAGGCTCAGGTGCCTTGCCATATGTGGCTTGCGCATGGGTGACGTCCAGTCAAAAAAATTCGGCCCTGTACGCTTTCCGCGCGAAGTCAAGCCGACCGATCGCGTTTACAATCTCGCATCCCGCCCCTTGCTGCAATCACATCGCCGTGCACTACGACTCCAAGCTCAACTCGCCAATCCTTCATTCTTTGCGTCTTCAAATCCCACTCGTCGTCATGCCTGCCAAGAGAATCGTCGTCCAGAGAGACAGCCAGCGCTCTCGTCAGCCCAAGGGTTACTTCAGATCAACATACGATGCGTTGACTTCCTCTGAGAATGCACCCATCGTTCGCAGCGTCGCCATCTTCGGCGTAAGTCACCATGCACTTCCAGACCACCTATAGATTGAGCTCTGCTGACGTCCATTGTAGGCAGCTGTGACTTTCCTCTCCAGCTCCTGGGGCGAGTTCCTTCTTCCTCCGTAAGTTGCCTATCACCTTGAGCTACAATCCAAGGTCGCTAACGCTTCGATTTCGCAGTCAATAAAGATCTTTCTACAATCGAATGACGGCTCATGTATAATTACGTCCTTTTTGCCGCAATAGAAGCTGGCTGTACAATACTCGAAGAAAGGTAGCCTCGGCTACGGGAATTGGCATTTGAGGTCTGGTGTTGACCTCGAAGCCCCGGCCTGCATTGGCTGGCTTTAATAAATCTCACTCTCACGCAATGATTATTGTTTTGGATCCACTTGTGCCGTGAATATATTCAACCAACAGGGAGCAGGTACGGCGGTTGCTCCAGCACCGTCGCAAGAGTGTGCCTAGTTCGCCCACTATCTACTAGGACACTAGCAATTTGAACAGACAGTGCTATTATGGAACTCAATTGGGCGGCACGCAGCCGTATTAACTAAAAAGGTTCTACGCAGTAAAACTTCCTCGGCTCTACCGATTACCTCTCATCACATCAGCTCCGCGTTTGTGCAAGTCCCGTTGCACTTCTGATAGAGAGACATCGCAGCCCAGCCGCCGCACATCTCCGTCTTGCTACCCCCACAGGGCATATCGCAAGCTCCCCAGAGCCCTTTTTTGGGCTTCCGATCATCAGCTACCGAGTTACCGCACCAGCATTCTTTCGCATATTCAAGGCCGGCATACTGAAAGCCCTTTCCGTCACAGTACTTGATGCACGTATCAACCGTCATACTGTCACCGGACGTCTTGGCGCCCTGGAGAGTCCTAGTCTGTCCAGCCGGATCACGGCCACAACCCAAATATTTGTACTTGAGAGTACTCGTCACGTCCTTGTAACCCCATTTGGGTGCCGAGATCTGGGTCGTTGCACCGCAGCCTGATTCTGCCACAGCGTTGCCTGGGCCTCGTTGAATGCTGTTGCAACCTGGCAACTTGTCGAACTGGCCCTGGACTTGCTCGTCAACCTTGATGGGGACTTGGCAATTCCTTCGGGTCTCGTCGTCAAAAAACTGGAAAACTGGGCACTTCTCGATGCTGCCACCATTGTCGGTGCATTGCGTGATAGCCGCTTGGAGTACGTTGACGTCCCACCCATTAACGAAGTCGCCGTGCAAGCCATATCCAGTCGGGTCACTAGATAATGTAAGCAAATTTCCTGTTCATAAAAGTGAAGGTGAGGCACTGACCCATTAGATAATACAAACGGTTGCTTATCTCCGTACCACTTGTCCTTGAAGTCATTAACGCTGAAGATCACTTCGTAGAACAGACTAGCATACACATCAGCACCTTATAATCATGATATCTCTGGGGTTATCTCACGTAACGAATCTCTTGGGGTGAGTTGTAGGACATTTCCCGTTGTCAAGGCGATCCGGGTACGCCATATGGCTTTTGTGGTCAGGTGAATCGAGATTGACACCGTCCCAGCATGCAGGGAAGATTATCTGAAGACGGAGGCCATTCGGACAGTTACGATTGGGAAGCTCGCTCGTTGCAGGGCCGCTGTTGCCCAGGCACACGTAGGAGATGGCCCGCTGCTCTAGGGTGTTGTTGTAGCTTCGAAGCTTCGGATCACCTGCTAGCATCCGAAAGCCCTTGGGATACGCGATGAGCCCTTTGCCGTATTCCGGATCCTTGGCGTCCTGGCGGAACCTAGAATATTGGTCAGTCCTCTAGCTTCTTTCATCATCCTGTATCATTGCTCACAAATAGTAGGCAAGCATGCCTCCGGACTGGGAAACACTAGTGAATTTGCCGTCCTGGCCTTGATAGTAGAGGGTTGGAGTCCAGTAGTTGCTTAGATCGGCAGTCACCTTGCACGTTGAGCAAGTGGCAGCGCGAGCCTGCTCATAAGTCATACTGAAGTCGAAGCCGTTTCCACCCATGATGGTATGAACATGCCCTGAAAGAGCTCCCGGGTTGACAATGGGATCGGCGCGCTCGACAACTACCGGCTTTGAGCAAGGCATTATGAAGAAAGCAGCCGCTTTGCCGCTTGCCCAGAGCCCAACGAGAAGTTGCTTGCTTACTTTCATAATGGGCAACGGTAAGAGTGTGGCCGAAAACGAGGAGCCGCCGTGGAAAAGGAAGGAGACGTCAAGTTGAATTAAAAGAGGGAGCGACACAGGCTACCCAGGATTTGTTAAAGTCGGCTAACTGTGTCGCGGAATTTTGGTCAAAGATCAAAGTTCACCCAGCAAAAGTTGGAGTGGGGGCTTGGAAATAGACCGAAAGCTAATAGCTTCAAGGGAAGAGCTGAAAGGCCAGGCACGCAGGCGTACGTGAGGAGAAGCAATGGCGGCGAGTCTATGAGAAGAGGGCAAGTTGAAGCAGGCCACGGTGATCTTTTATCATTCATCTTCATTGCCCACTGCCAAACCCCCACCCACATCACAGGGTCTGGTCAAGGACCCAGACCGGGAGGCGCAGGAGGCTTCCCATCAATGCGGCCGTGACAATAGACACAGACAAGCCATTATCTAGAACTTGAGCTACCGTGGAAACAAGGAGGGGACCCGTCAGTGGAGGGGCATGACGAGTTGGCTGAGCCTAACCTGAATGCGTGCTTAACTTCGCCAAAGAGCTATAATGGCGTCGACAATTGGGGAAGCTCTGCTCAGCTCTTCGGCGGCGTTGGTCGGAGATGGCTCCGCGCTTTAGTTAAAATGGAGAGGTGATCGCAAGTAACGCTTACCCGTGAAGGTTGTGGTCCAGAAAAGAAGGGTATTCCGCTCAATCGTTCCGCTCGAGCTTAGCCTCCGTGTCAGACATTACCGCAGTTGTCTCTGATTCACCCATTGAGCTGATTGAGCCAAGAGTCAAGATTTCCAAAGACAAGGCGTCGCGAATCTGACGCAGGTCGAGATCCTACACTGACAAAGTCGCTGCTTTAGTCGTGGTGAGTGGGAAAATCCCGAGAGGAGACACCAAGGAAACAAGCTCGAAGCTTTGGGATGAACTGTCTTAGACACGTGGAATCTGATCATGACAGGGTCCATCTCGTCAGAAAATGCCCCTCACTAGCTACTTATGCAAGCATCCGCCGTCTGGCGAGCTTTCGGGCGGAAGGCGGATTGTGTGTGTAAGCCACTGCGTCGTGAGCAACCGGATTGGTCTTAGAATCGGCTTTTCAAGACCCAAACGGAGCGAGGACGAAATGCGGTTATCGACAAGGTGGATTTGTGTAGTGTAGGCTCATGGAGGACTGGGAAGCAAGGGATGTTGGACGGCCGAGTGCCAAGCTGGGAAGGCGCTAAACCGCCAACGAGAGACATTAAGAGGGCTAGGCTCTCACAATCCTCGCCTTGGGAGATTGGTCCTACGGGCCTCAATACGTTGTCTCCTTGTCTCAGTTTAGAACAGGTTGACCCGCTCCGCCTGGCAGGCTGTCACCTGTTCCCGGAATAATTGACGGCTGAGGAATGTTTTCGGATTTATCATTTCCTAATTCATGGCGCGAAATCCTGACGAGGACCGACCACCCGACCAAGTTGGGAATTCCTGAGACAGTAATGTGCCAAAATAACGATCGTGCATTACCGACCTGGTGAACGAAGTCTCTGATCTCATTATACTTACTGCCCGACAACCCGACGATTGGGTAGAGACCCGTTGCGCCGGGGTGCAGAAGCTGTATCTCCGCACCGGAAGTGGGGAATCGGGACCAGCGGCCGGGTCGGAGGTGTAAGTGGGCCTCACGGGCCGGAGGCAGACGTCAAGTGCAGTAGGCGTTTGCCAACTCTACCACCTGCCTTGCAACCTCCGGGCCACTCCTTTGCCTCACGGGCCTGACGGTGAGGCTTGAGCTTGAATATTCTCGCCTTCCCCTTGCGCCTCATCCGTCAACATCGCACCATCCCACTCGACTAGCCAAAGTATAGACCTTGGTGAACGGCGAACGCTTAAATGGACTACGTGACTGCATGGACCTCGTGGCTCTTCAAGCCAAGTCACTAGGAGGATTCATTGTAGTTTTTCGTACTTTCAGCCACCCATTTGCTGTAACTGACAAAGTGTGTCTAAGCCAATCTACGTGCTTGGCCAGAGGCAGGAGTAGGAGTGCCAGGCTACTGAGCCGCCACAGGGTGGGGGGCACTCACCCGTTGCGTCAGCAGAGGCTTACAATGTCAGGTTGATCTCCTGGTTTC